TATGATAGCTTCTTTTCTGTATTTTGAAAGCAATTCTATTCATTTAGTTTTCTTCGCTCTTTAAAATATAGTAGTATTGTTTTATTATATATGTTAAATGTGTGATAATTTTCAAGATGATAGTAATGTTTCCCATATGGGTACTTTTTTCTGTTTTTTTATGCAATCGCCGATATAATGTAGTAAAACTGGCCAGGCTCCAGGATTTCACATATTTCAATAAGGTAGAAAACTTGAGACACTACGGGAGAAACATTTTCATCTCATGACATGTCTTGTGGAAACTCACTGAAAATGATGTTGACAAATGGAGAATCAAGTTTATTAAAAACATATGCTTTAAAAAATGTAAAGCACATCAATAAAAATACTGTGAGCCCCCAAACCTTTCTACAAATATGCCTGGGAATAATGTAAAGGCTTATTCCTTTGCACAGTTTTCAAAATTCATTTGACCTCCTCATGATATAGCATAAATAAGATGATCTTCTACTATAAGCAATCAAAGGGAGTTATCAATTAAAACCTGAAAGCTTAAGAACACAGTCACCTTTAAACTTTAGAAATTCTTGTTGACATGGACAATGGTGCTCTACACCACATTTAAAAACCTCCACATATACAAATAACAGATTCCCTGTAGTTTACTTTTCCCAGATAAACACATAAATCATCTAATAACTCCCAAAAAAGAGTGGGAAAACTTGAGGGTATTTCATAACAAAATGCAAAGAAAAAAAATCATTTTTGCCTTGATATATAGTTTGTTTACTAAAAGAATATTTAATCAGGTCACAATTAAATTTGACAAAAAAACTACAAACAACATTCTCGCATGAGATTCAAAGTAAAGTCACTTCTACTTTAAATCAATCAATAATCTGCTTTAAAATATCTACACACTGGAATGTAAGAGGACAAATCATATCGCATTGCATGTACAAAGGTTAGCTTGTGAAAGGTTATTACAAACAAATTCAAACGTAGTTATCAAGCAAAAAGGAGGCACTGTACAGTGAATTTAGTATAATTTGGTGAGCTCACTGATATGGCTTCTGATTTCTGTTCCATCTGAACACTCACTGACATAGTTGGTATAATAATTTCATTGAGTGAAATAATTCTAACAAGGCTCCATGTTTTCTACCTTTGATGATGTGCATGATTTGAGCAATCTGCATTAAAAGACCTTAAGAAGAATCAAATGTATATACCTGAGAAAATAGTTTGACTATTTAGGTTAGAATCCAACCCAGAAGTAAATAGGTCTACCAGAAACTATATAAAACTAAGAGTTTGACATTTCTTATCGGCCTGACCACATGCTGATGGGAAGTAGGTTAAGCAGATACTAGCTCTGGCTTAGATCACATCAATTTAAGTTTTTCTGCTGACTGACAGAATGTTCTGTCTCTGTATTGATCATTTACGTGGGTCTGTTACATGATACTGCAAGCATTCAGATCCTTTTAACACTAGATGTAATCTTAAAAGTAAAAGCTGGCAAGCTACTAAGCCCAGTACAACATGCCATGGTTTCTTAAAGAAGAGGTAGTCAAACAGGAGTTCTTCCAATTCAATTCATTGTGATTACATGATTTTGATTCAGCTGAATTTGTTTTTTAGTTAATTTTAATGGTACAGAATGATCATTTTCACACCACGTCACAGCAGTTAATTTCTGCCAGGAGGGATGTTTTCTAGAATGACGAGGTCTCCACAGAAATCTACAGAGTACTGTATGTGTGGTCATTCAATGATTTGATTTCATCCATACCTCACTCACCAGATCTGAACCCAATTGAACATGATTAGGATATTCTCAATACCTAAGACAGTGTTTGCTACCTCCAAAAACCAGGATTTGGTTTATTTTTTAACAAAATAAACTCTCTCACAATAAATTGATTTTGTTGAGTTGACTGATTGTCTCATGAAAGAATGGTGTATCTCATCCCTCCTGCAGAATCAGATATTGATAGACTTTATGCCACAGTGGATACAGCCTATTCTGGCCACACGTGGTGACTCAACGTTCTTTGAAATGACTTTACAATGGTGTTTCTATTTTTGTCCACCACCTGTAAATAGATCAGGTGGGTAGCTGCATCAGCATGTGTAAGCTGCAAAGGAACACATTTTGTAATAGAAATTTGGTCCCATGAAATATAGTCAAATAAATTGTGTAGTTGTCTCTATAGGAAGCTATTTTTAGTGAGTGAGGCACTTTATGGGGTTGTACTTTGCAGGGTAACTTTGAACCCAATCCTGCAAATGAGCAACAGTTTCCGTCTGTTAAGCAAAAACAGTGATAAAGGGTTGCATAACTTCTAAAGCTAATATAATCATCATTACCAGATGATCTGTATTATTTGACATCACTTATTGGTGTTTGAAATTGCTAGCTCAATCTCAGTCTCTTTGTTTGAACTGCAATGGGGCTGGCTCAGAAGCTAAACTTAATTAAATTCAAAACAAACTTCATAATGAAAGCAGCAACAAGTGGAAACGTACGGAACATATGGAAAGCTAAAATATATGTATAACAGCATTTATACATGCATGTAAATTGATTCTATTTTCACTTGAAAAATGCAATCCAGTGTTCACAACTGCAGAGGGTGGACAAAATAATGGAAACACCAACCAATATATGAATATTGATTAGCTAATAAGCCGTTGGGCTGCCTTTTGCCTTCAGAACAGCTTCAGTCCTTCTTGGAATACACATATTCAAGTTTTGAACTGTTAAAGTGGGATATAATATTTGGAAAATAATAATATTTGGACCAAATGACTCCCATCAGATAGCTGCCTATAACATAACAGAGCCACCACTATGTTTAAAAGCTGGGAACAGGCAGGGTGGATTGAAGGCCTCCTTTGGCTTTCTTCAAACATAAACCCAACCAGATATTGGAAAAAGAGTACGAAGACTCATCAGACCATATTACTTTCTTCCATTGCTCAAAATTCCAGGTTTTGCACTCATTAACACCTGGTTATGCGTCTCCTGATGCTGATTTCCTTCATGATTTTTGACACTGTTCCCCTCTGTGGCTAAGGATCTGCGCCTGTGACTGGAAGGTTGCCGGTTCAAATCCCGCGGCTGGTGAGGAATCCTACTCCGTTGGGCCCCTGAGCAAGGCCCTTAACCCTAACTGCTCCAGGGGCGCCGTACAATGGCTGACCCTGCGCTCTGACTCCAAGCTTCTCTCCCTGTCTCTGTGTCTGTGTCTCCATGGAAAAAAGCTGGGGTATGCGAAAAGACGCATTCCTAATGCAAGAAATTGTATAGGGCTAATAAAGAAACATTATTATTATTATTATTGAAACAAATAATTTTGTTGTTTCTGTGACTGAGGAACCTGCAATTTGGACACCAAGTAGTTCACCTCTAATAGTGAAATAGTCCTCTAATAGTGAAATCATATAAGTAATTAGTGATTACATTTATTAATTTTAAATTTGGGAATTTAATTACTTCAAAATACAAGTTACTTGTTGTAAGGTGTTCCTATTATTTTGTCCTCCCCTCCACAATTTGTTTTATAACGAAAACATTAAGTATTTTATCTCTGTTTGCTGTGCAACAGTGGAACCCAAATATAGGACCTTCCAGTCATGCAGATCAACAGTATTACATAAACTGCATACATTTATTACATACATTTCAGAACAAGACCCGATTAGAATAAATAAGAGGGCATATAATTAAGACTAAGAATAGTGGGTACTTCTTTCATGGAAAGCGTTGTAAGGATCTGGAACAAACTACAATAATCAATCGCTTACTAAGCAAATGGACTAGATGAGCCAAATGGCTTCTCTTATTTATAACCTCTCTCATGTTCATCACAGTGCAGCTCTCTGGAAATCCTTATTATTGAGGTGCCAATAAGTCAAACAATTAGCATTACTATAATGCATTCAAATTACATATACTAAATCATGTAATATGTTACGTATCAAATATATATATAAAGTATCTAAAATAATACCAGTAAAGTGCTTTATATTATTAAAAAGTGTTACAATCACAGTAGGCCATGGCTGATTATGGGTTCATATTTTGTGCTCTAGGACATAATTAGACTATTTTAGAAACACAATTTATAAGCTCGTTAAAAGGAAATTTCTACCTTTCTATTATGTTTTGGGTGATTTCCAATCAAATTTCAAATCAAATTAACATTTATAATCTGTCTGTTTCTCACATTTCAAAAAAGAATATTACAAAGAGTGTAGTCTCAAACATAAGAGGGATTGATTCAAGTACTGAAAATCTGCAAAGTAATGTCAACATCAGCTGACATTAATGAATGACTAATACTCATAATCCCTATCACTCTTCATAGAGTAGCCAGAATTTCTTTCTTTCTGATTTGTCCTAAAATGAGCGCACGTGCACAGCTTTAATAACCCTGTCTAAGAACTTGCTGATCCAAAGACAGTTGGATGTTTCAGACGTCTTCCTGAACCATGATTACTCAACGCCACACCACAAGCAATTACTGTATAGTAACGTCTCATTTTTCAAAGAGAAAATGACCACAAACCTTTCCTCCTTTATTGTTAAAGGCACTTAATTCCATGAGCACAGAGCAAACAAACACAAAGGAAGAGAGTAGTGAGATCATCAATGTTTCATAGAAACCAGGAGCTTCTTTATGGCTATAGCCTTTAAATGTCACCCTTAGAAAGCATTCAACAGGATGATAATTACAAATAGTCACATTCTAAAATGCTTTTCCTTGTTTGCCAGTGTGGAACAGCACAAGCTTTATATTAGTTGAATTAATGGAGGTTGCTAGTATGACTCTACGTCAGGTGAATGATCATTAAAAAAATTAACAGGGTTGGTCCACAGCAGAAGCCAGGTATCCCAAGATGCCATGAATCATACAGATAAATCAGAAAAAAACAGTGATACTGTGAATAAAGCACAACCAACACATACTATATATCAGTAATGTGTACAAAAAAAGATTAATACTTACTGCTAGGAATAACATGCAATACATTGAAAAAGAGGAGTGTCCAGAATAAAAGGAGAGTCTGCAAAAGAAAGATAATGACAACATGAAAAAGGGATAATTAGATATACAGTAGAACCACATCGGATATACTATTGTCTTAGCACTTTACTTCTAAAAAAGAGCTACATAGTTCCTCGTAACTGCTTATAGGGAAAATATTATTAAAGTATTTATTTATTTTTATGGTATGTACTAAAAAAACAAAATATTTTAAATTTTCAAAAATAATATTTCTGTCTTCAGCAACTGCAGCTCATATACCTGTACATATCTTGATTTTATATTTTAATACATAAATTAAGAATGCTGTATTAAATGTTACAGCTACAATTTCCAACATATTTTAACACTGTCAGTTCTCTGATTTATTGAAACTTTTTCCTTCTAAGCACCAAAAAAGCTAGATTTAAAGTCAACTATAAAAATGACAGATGAGACTGACAGATCCACAGGTCACATTGTTCATTTATTAATTCATCTTCCCCTTACTATATCAATTGTGGATAAAAAAGCATTATTCAGCAAAAATCCTGAAATAACCGTAGAAATGACATTAGTGCTTGCCTCTTTACTTTAAAAATGCTGTACAGCCATTACCAACATATACAATATATTTGATAAACAATTACTAAATTAGAGGCTAGATACTCTAACTAATACAAAAATTCAGCAAACATGTAAAATGAGATTTAGGGTTAATGACATAACAATAAAAATATATATTTAAATTGTAAACCCAAATAGAAAAAATAAAACAATAGCTCTGTAAAACCCAGTAAAGGGGATAATTATATTTTTATGAATGCTTGAACTATAGCATGAATACAGTACATACTAGACAAGTACTGAAGTGTCATATAAATACTACGTGGGTTATATCCAGGGCAGATGTTTATGATTTGAGGCCCTAAGAAAGTAGACAGACAAATAGCATACAGTACTGTAACGGAGCAGAAAAACGGTTCTAGGGCTAGACAACTATAGGGCTACAGCCTATATTTTAAGTTATTGGAACCTTTGGTATTGTATAACATGAACATAATGCTAAGTGGAACACTACCAGGAGAAAAATTTGCTTGATTGTTGAAAGATGTAATTGGCTAGTTCCAAACTACAGCTTGCCTTAGCACTATGTTTACTTATTCTGTGAATGACACCCTATTATTTCTAAACACACTGGACCTTTACCAGAATAGCTTAAGTATACTGAATGCACAAACAATAGGGAAAACATAAATCTTCCAAAACTCCTGGGAATTCTTCAGGGACTAAAGCACATTTGCTTGTGGTGTTGTGGTCCATTAGAGTATTAGAGTTATACAGTACGTACTCTCAATTCGACCATGGCTAACCTACCTCTTTCAAGAATTGTGATTGAATGGTGTCATAAGTAAAATTCTTAATTTTGCTAAATAACATTTATTGGTGCAATTGAGAATTTTAATGTGAAATTTCATTTGTTTTAATCAAATTGAAACAGACATTCTCCTCCGTTTGCTATGCATCACCCTGTTAATTGTAATGCAAAGGGAAATCTCTTCATAAATGATTTAACATGCTTTCATGCTTAATGATGCAGTGCTTTAAGATTTAGCAACTTTTAAAAGCACTACATAATATTGATCATCTGACTTTGTTTCCACATCCAATGTTAAATCCTATCAATAAAAGACAAGGTCAACTATACAGGATTATAGAATATAGCAATACCAGGAAGGAGAACTTTTTTGTGTCTCTTACACAATCTTTTTAACTTCTAATGCTTGGGTTTGTGTGAAAACATCATAAAACAATATAGCGGCAGATAAACATTCAAAGTTCCAAATGGAAATGCAAAAATGATTAAGAAGTTGCCAAGCACTGTAATGTATAGATATGTCTTTATATAAAGTAATTGTTTCATAATGACTAATACTTAGCCTACAGTAATGAGAGAAAATGTTCTATGTGGAAGTCGTCTTAATGATATTTTACATAATTTTATGTAATACAAACGTCAGAAATTAGTAAGGTTTTACGAATTTATTTGACATTAAACTAATTTAAAACTCAACCAGTTACCCATATAAAACAAAATATGATCTATCTTCCTAGAATATTAGTGTTTATCCTGTTTTTGAAACAACTCAGGGTCGCAGGGGAGCTGGCAATCAATGGGTGCAAGCTAAGATACACCCTGGACAGGATTCCAACTCACTGCAGGGTAGGCACAAACACACACACATTCACACCTATGGCCAATGTTTCTAGAAGCCAAGTAGCCTACTAGTCCATTTGTGGACTGTGGCAGGAAACTAGAGTAGCCAGAGAAAATCTATGCAAACATGGAGAGAACAAATTCCACACGGACAGAAAACTCCAGAAGAACTTGGGGCCCCAGCGCTGCAAGACAGCAATGCTTACCAATGCACCGCCCACCTTTTCTCTTTTCATTGTTCATATGAACACATCTGTGACTGTGACATATTAAAGTAAAAAATAAAAGAAATCTGTAGGATGTTTGGTCAGTTGATAGCACAGTATGAAACAGTCCTGTGTTTACTCCTAGCCTGGAGTACCCGACATAGATTCTGTCTTGTTTAACTAAAACATCAGATGACATTCTAATTATAACACTTGAGTTATTTTGTGCACTTAGGAAGATGGAACTTTTAAGTGACCTATAAGAATTACATTCCTTTCAATATTTTAGTTAAGATCTAAAAAAGTGAAAAAGGAGTCTTGTACACATTAAGAGTTCAGTGGCCTAAATAATTCTGGCAACCCCTCATTTAATCTTATCATGAGCTCAAACTCCAACACCTTCTCAAGAGCTTAATTTGAATGTCTTTGAATTTACTAGTGTCTTGTCCTTAAGTTCTTCCCGAATTATAATTTACAAACCCATTTGTAGTGTTCTCATTTATAGTGGGATTTTATTTGTATACCAATACTTCACTTTCACTTGAAAAACATAGGCCTGACATGGACATACAAGCAGATTCTAGTAGTTAAAGATGTTAACTCAAAGTGTCCTCGACTCAATAAGGCATTAAATTGAACAGGCCTGCTCCGTCCAGGAAGAAAGAGCAGCTGTCAGTACTGTGAATGACTTAAGCAGCCGCCATGGATTTCCAGTGGTTTGCTGTTCCCACTACATCAGCTTACACTAGCCTCAACAAGAACTGGCATATAAGCTTCCAAACCAAAAAAAGCTAGCAAAAAACAACTGAGGAATGGTTTTCCAATCATTATGTCTCACCACAGCACTGTCTGCAAGGCTGAGTGACTCTGTTTAGGGATCTAGCTGTTATAAGGCAAGATTAAGATATTACTAAAAACTTTTGGGCCCAATTTTTGAAAGGACATGGAATAATTAACACATGCACAACTCTTTTGCTTCCCAAAAGTAATGCAACCTTGCATAAATAGGAAATTAGTACTTTCCCCCCCCCAAATGTTTATGAAATACTTTTATTCATATTACCATAGTTATTCAAGTTCAGTGATCATGGCAGATGTGTATATTCCCAAGGGCTTGCTCAATGTGACCTGCATACTCCAGGCAGTGCTCTAAGGCACTCTAAGGCATGGTTCGATTGAAATGCAATTCTAAATCTCCTTTAGTGAATCCCTTTTATCAATTAAATTAAATCCTCTTGCTACTTAGAGCAAACAGCAGAGAAGCACATAAGGCTAAACATAACAATGGTGGACCACATAAATATTAGAAAATGGCTGCAAATTATTGTAAGATTTTTCCTTTCTTACCATGCTAAACATGAATTCCACTAAGTGGGATCTATTTCTTTTCTCAGGTTATACTGTTTCTCCATTATTTTCAAAATTGATCATCTCTAAACTTAGAAGACCGTAGAAACACAGTTTGTAGTATATTATTATATTTTGTTAAAGGGTGTTAGATATTAGTGCATACAGGAGTACATATCAAAACAGAAGAAAAAAGCAGAAAAATGTAGAATGTACAAACCACTGATTTAAAAATCATTAACAAAGCAATATGACGTACCTGGCTTCATTGACCACGGTTGCATCACCAGTGCAGGTGAAGTTCTCAATGTATCCTGCTTGGCAGTTGATGTCTTTCCACACGGGCATACAGACCTCTAGAAAATGAGGTCTCAGCCGACCAATAGAATACTTGGCAATGTCAGTCAGGGACTGGCTCATTGCTGCACCAAACACAAATGTCCCAATGGCCTTGTAAATGCATGCCACATAGTTATTACCAATAGAGGAGTTTGAGCAGATCCGTTTATAATACACTGAAAGGCCCTCCCCTATGATCATCTGTAAGAAAAATATAGACACACAAGTTAATGGAGCCAAGGAATTGATTAAATACTCTACTTAGTCATGATATGTTTCCAAAATATATTCATATCATAAAGTACATTTGTATTTTCCTTTGATTTGCTTTCAATACTTGGGCAACCTTTACAAATTTTGAAAGAAACATTTTGGAAGATTTAATATGAAAACCACACTGATATGTGTTTGTGTCACACAGAACATGTTTAGAATTTGTAATAAATACACTGTTAACAATGTTAAAATCAATCGGAAGACAGAAAAACAAACGCTTGATGTAACAGAAACAAGTGGTACATCATAATGCAGCTGCTACTGGATTCTTGAGGTGGTGATTACAAAGAAAAAAAGACTTGAGAAGAAAACTAATGGAGCCGTGCCATTTCTTATTATGGAAACTAGAAGAGCTACAAAGTGTTCAAAGAAGTGCTCTTAGTTACCAATGAAAAAAGCCCTTTATAATTCCTGTCATGCAACAGTTTTATTCTGAAACAATGACTATATTCATATTTCCCATTTCAATTAGTGTGAAACTAAGGCAGGTCATGATACTGTAGATTAGCATATCCAGTTGTCACATTGCAAAATTCACCAGGAATTATGAAACAAAAACTAAATTTCTCCCCTAGACCCCAGACCTTACATGTAGAATTGTTTTTTTTTTCATAATTCAAAAGCAAAATCCTCAAAATTTGTCTGTACCCACTTTTAAGAAAAATGATTTTTGTGTTTTTTTACCCCACAGCTTTGTGAAACCTTTGGATTTCATAATATTAAAAGACGTATTTCAGATGAATATGCATCAGTTTAGAACCAGGCTAACATTCCACAGAAACAGTAGAAAATTAAACCAACTTCTCATAAAAGTGGGGGTGTGATTGATTTTGCATCACTGAAAATGTTTAAAGTATAAAATAATTTAGATAATAGATACTGAAATCTCATATGAAGATTTTAATTGGGGAACTAAGAGGTAGCCCTGGAAAATCACTGACCAATTATTTGATTTTACCTGTTGTGATAATTTAAGTTAAGAGTTTTTGACAGGCTGGGCATTTTATTTCTTCTACTGCCATTCATATTTCAAAAAGTAATTACAACTTCAGGGAGTCACCCCCAACTAGAAACAAAGTTCTGTTGTGAAGATAATAAAATAATGTTTTGGTTAATTCAGATTTTTAATCATAAACTACTAGATTCAAATATATATTTTAATTTTAAATAAATCATTTTAGAAATATATATATAGTATATAAATGTCACAATTTAAATAACAATTGTGTGATATTTCTAAATGTTTTGTTGTTGAACACATTGCTATTTTGAAAGACTTTTCCTTTACAATTGGTCAGATATTTTAACATTCAATGAAATGACAAAACGTGATTGGAAATTGAGAAATGTTGATTTTCTTTAATTGCAAAGGTTGTTTTGATGGCAAGAAAGTGTGCAAACACCAATAACAATGAATACTCCAAAAAAGGAATAGAACTAACCACTGTACAAAGACAAAACCAATTGCTATAGATCTCTCTCAACATTACATAGAGATAACAAAAATTCACCTTTAAATCTGTACTCTTTGCTAAAAACACTGCCATGTCAGTATTGTTCATACGACAAATGTACTGTACAAGCAAATTGGTTGTCAGGTTTGAAATATTCATCATTTCAAACTGAGTTGAATGATCTCCTAAACATATCAGGAATGTCTAAACAGATCCAAAAACCTAACAAGAACATCATCCTCACATTTGCCTAGAAGTTTCCTTGAAGCAGCAACCAGTGAACATGATGTACTTTACGATAAAGCAATCAAAGTGTACAGCACTGTAAGGTAGAGCCCTATGTGGGGTTAAAAGAATAATAATGTCTGATAATCGTACTAGGTTACTTAATCATTATTGGACTGATGAAGTCAAATCCTTAATGTCTTTTTTTCCCTAATAATTTTTAAATCATTAAATATATTCAATTTTTAACTTAATTCTTTAGCATGTCACCCTGATGACTGTGGCAATTCAGGATTCACTTTAGGATCCCTTGGAATAAAATTCATGATTCAAATGCAAGAAATTAGAACAAAACATCGGATGCTTCTATATACATAAATGTTCATATATTAAAAACTACAGTGCCTTACAAAAGTATTCTGACCCTTCCTTTGGTGTCCCATTTGATGAAATTACAAACTGATGCCTATGCATTGTGTAAACTTAATATTTTATTCAAAACATGAATGCTCAGACTGAGGACTTCCAAGTTTAAATTACAGAAAATGTCAGCAAAAACTAAAGATAAATGAAATGTTGACTACTCATTTAGACCCATGAACCCAATCCATGATTGAAGCAACTTTGGGAGCAGTCATAGCCACAACTGTGCTCAATGGCTTTATGCAATTTTTGCCCATTGTTTTTGAAAGATTTGCTCAAGGTCTCATGATGCTTAAGGACCACTTATGGCAGCAGCTTTCAAGTGTTTCCACAGATCCTCAGCAGGACTCCGAGTCAGGAGCCAGGACTTGAACTCAAGGACATTAATACTGTCATTCTTAAGCCATTCCATTTTAGTTTTATCCTTTATGCAAGCATGACGTCTGACATTTTTCTATTTAATGATTGTTTTTTTGGTTTGCTGCTTTAATCTTGTGGAGTGGGTTGTGTACACAAAACATATGTTAAACATATATTGTGTATATTAAAATGTGTCACTTGAAAGTGTGACATATATACAGTATGCAAGCTCTAAAAAACAAAATGTAAAAAATTGTGCAAGGGTTGGAATACTTTTTCAAGGAACTGTATATTTATATATTTAGAAAAAACAGGCAGATAACAACACAACTTAGTGTTTCCAGACCCATCTAAATTTCTCACAACCAGTAATTGACTAATTGTTCAAAAGCATGGAATCTTTAAATGAGTACCTTGCTCTCAAAATATGACGTTGACCATCTACAATTACAGAATGACAGAGTGGTACATCTGTTCTGCATTTTAATGCATGTTACAGCTGATATTCAGTTGCAAACACTGGTGAAATTCCAAAATGCAGTTATTAGTCATCTACTGTATCTCAATAAAATGGCTTACAATTATTACAGAATAGGAAACATTGCTCTGTTAAAGTCTGTGCTTATATATTTCAAAAAAAATTTTTTCATGTAACAAATACCAGATATTTTTAGTACCAGAGTAACTTTCTGGGCACGTGTTCAATTCTAGCTTTTGTTTCTACTGCCAAAGGATTTTTTAATTTCAATGTATTTTGCAAAACCAGGTACTAACCTAAGAGGGCTAATCACCTGTCTCTTCTTATTTTGAGACATGTCAGCTTCATGCAGGGGTGTATAGGTTCATATATGTTTCAAATAGTGCATATACAAAGCTACTGTGGATAGTTTCCTTGTTAGGCTAGAGAATACTCCATATGAAAAAGAAATACAGTACTCAAGGGCAGGATATGCCATCTGAATAAAACATTTGCATATACATGTTTGGCTACTTCATTTTAAACAATGTATAATACCATTGGAATTCTATTTCATATTTTTGTAAATATCTATTCATTTATTTCTATTTATAATCGTCTCTTATATATACTGATGGAAAAAAGAAACAACATTTTCTGGAATGATGATACTATAGTTATAGTTTTTGTACTTTCTCAAAACTTTGGCAATTTGTTTTAAGCCCTCTGACTAGCAATCCAGCTCGTGGAGTGAGGCATTCCACCTTTCAATCACTCGAAAGCTCATTAGGTGCACTTTTACCCAATGAGGTCCAGGTGGAACAATGCCTGATCAGGTCACCTTTAAAAAGGCCTTAATTCAAAGCTCAGGTCACTCCAAGAAAAGGCCACACTTAGTCAGTTTTCTGTGCATTCCATAATGCCTCGAATGTCACCAGAAGCAAGGGAGAGGGCCATTGCCATGTTGCAGGCAGGCAGGCATGTCATGTGCCAACATTGCCAGAAACTATAGAGTAAGCCGCTCCACTGTGTCCCAGCTGCAGAAAAGGTTTCAGCAGACCGGCTGAACAGATGACCATCCAAGATCCGGTCGCCCTCGAGTGATCAGACTGGTCCATCTGAGAGATAGTTTCAGATCTGCCACCCGTACTGCTGCTGAAACTGCAAGCAGACACAATGCCCGCATCAGTGACAGGACAGTGAGGATCCAAGCTGCTGGCCTTAGAGCAAGGCGACCTTTCAGAGGCCCTCTGCTCACACCTACTAGACGTCACACTCAACTGGCTTGGGCCAGACAGAGGGTGTGATGGACTCTTCAGCAAAGGCATCAGGTCCACTTCACAGATCAGTCACTCTTCAGCCTGTTCCACGCAGACGGGATGGCCAGAGCGTGAAAGAGGAGGAGGTGTTGTGTTTCTTTTTTCCATCAGTATATATAACATTCCAAGCATATTGAATATTAAAAGTGTTTTGTGTTATTTTCCCACATATTTGTTTTTCATATGGGTGCAGTAATTACTGGGCATACAGCAAGACAAAGAATTAAGTGAGCGAAAGTATAAAATTATGCAAAGCAATGCAAAAGACAACTGCTGAAATACAGATTGCTATTGGCAATGGCATGTTAGCAAATGAGCAGAAAAGGCAAGAGTATTATTGGATAATACAAAAAATCACTTACAACGAGAACTGTGAGAGGTATCATTATTCCACCTAATAACTCATAGGATATGGTGTCTTCTTTAAGAGGGTACTTGATTGATTCATCGCTACAGAAAAATCCTCGTTTGAATGGATTGTGCCGTGGTGTGAGTATTGCAAATGGCAGTCCAGCTAGCAAAAGCAATGAAAAAATAAAAGGATAATTAAAAGGAGATTTCCAAACCAAATACCAAAAAGGCACAGAACCAACTGTAGCTTCCCTGGATGACAGCATATTCTTGAACAGGCATGTACACAATTCAGCTTTTTTTCCTTGCAGAAAATGGATTTAGATAAAGAAATGT